ACAAAGCACGACGACGAAATTGTAAATTTAGGTTGCGATAAGTCAATTAAATTCTTTCATCAAATAAATACAATATTATGAATCATTTTGTTCCAACTAGACAAGAGCCAAAAGAAAGAGACTCTTAAGGCATCACTTGAGTGGACCTATCGGGCCTTTTGATGTCCTTGCACCTCAGAATTATGTAAATTGACAAATGTCTGTTGAATGATCTCTGATATAAAAACAATTTATTAATATGATTAGTAGTAAACCTGGATAGACAACAAAATCAAAAAATGGCTAGCGAAAAACTATGAAAATAGGCAATTTACATTAGCTCACTAAATGACAATCATAAAGCAAAAATTGCAAAAAAAAATGCATCACAAAAATTGATAGGCAAGAAAACAAAACAAATATACCAAAACATTGAAACAATGATAAACATTAATGCCAGAACTAAAACAAGGCTAAAAAAAAACTCAAGAGTTTTTTCTTATTACTTTGAGAGAATCATTGGGGTAAAACAAAAAGTCTGTTCTTCAAAGCAAAGCAGAAATCAAAAAGTTTAATCCATTTTTTGATAATAGACGACATCAATTGGCTGATAAAATTAAATCAGCTGAAAACTTTTCATCAGAAACGATTTCTCAACAGTTTTGTCTCTTAAAAACAAGCCAAAAAGAACTATGTTTAGTTTTTCGTTGTGAAATTACACTTGTGATTTTTTTGGGTTAAACGATTTTGTCATAAAAATGATTGAAATGGCTATAATTCAAACACTAGAAACCTATTAAACAAATGATTTTCCTGTTTAATAGGTTGCCAGTATTAAATAGGAAAAGGTTTTTTTTCCTATCTATACTAAAGTAGCCATAGTAAAACCAATTAATAAAAAAGTAACAAACAAGGCTCTTGATAATTAAAGGCCAAAATCTTTCGAGCAGTTTTTTTTAACAAAACTTTTGAAAAGTTACCAGATAAACCCGTTTTTGATTTCTTAGATAAACATGGTGTTTTGACTAACAACATTTTTGAACTCAGACATAAATTGTCTACAAAAGAATCTTTGTTAAACTTAATGGAACACATCCGAAATGATTAGAATTAAACCATAATGTAACACATGCAGTTTTCATAGATCTCAAAAACGTGTGATGCAGTTTCACATGTTACACTTCTACAAAACGCTGAAAATTGCGGACTACAAGGTCCCAAACAGGCCTTGTTGAAATCATATTTGACAAATAAATCGCATGTAATCAGAATAGGCTCCGAAGTGTCGAAATTGTAAACTGTTGATAGTGGAGTTTCTCAGGAATCAGTCCTTGGGCCACTACTAAGAAATTTAATGATCAATTGTCTATCAACTATTACAAACTCACTGAACAGATATTTTCACGCTTTTGTTACTGCAGTGAAGCAAAAACAACAAAACTTACACCAATACAATGAGGGCTTATCAAAATAGGAATTTGATTGAAAATCAATAAGCTAACTCTGAACCAAGAAAAAAAACATAATAATTTATAGGAATATTATCGTAGAAAAAGACAATAAAAACATGAGAACCGACGATGTTAAGAAAAACCTCTATACCAAAATTTGGCACTCACATGGACTCAAAATAGATTTCAAACTTCATTTTGACTTTTTCGTCAAAAAAAACCATAATTTTTGTGGATATCTCTATCGATTACATGACGTACTAACGACAGCACAACTAAATAAAATCTACTTCAGTCAAACTCAGCCATTACTGCAATATGTGGTTATAGTGTACGGCACAGCAAATGAAACTTCAAAAAAAAATCTTGAAATGAAACAAAACCAATATCTGAGATATCAGTCGGTAACATATTTTAGAGAAACCTACAGAACTTGCTCAGTGAAAGAGTTGCATACATACGAGGTATTCAAATCTTCAGTTAGGCTTTTATGGAAGGATTTAAAAACTGAATTTCTGAAAAACTTAATTTCACTCTCGGATATTGAGATATTGGATTTTTAAAAAAATTGAAAAAAAAAATCAAGCCAAGGAAAAATCAAAAATAAGAAGTGATAAAGAATAAAAACTTTTTAAACAGTTTATTTGAAACAGATTGATGATTCTTAAGCCTCATATGATATGAATTGTAAAATATCTCAATTGAACTAGGCTTTAGCAACACATCATACTCGGTCACTGGCGCGTATTCTTGTTCGTACAGAATATGATGGAAAATTTTTTAATTTTATAAAACACAAGATCACCGATGAAAAACATCGACCAGCTTCAACTTTATCTGAGTTTAATGATTGTGAGCCAATGTTTTTTGCGCTAAAAGAAACATGGTTTAAAACGAATTCAAACAAAAAATGCATCATCTTACCAAAGTACCAACAAGTAGAAAATCAAGGAAGAGAGAGGAGAGGTGAGGGAGCTGGCTTTTTGTCCGTTATGAAACCATTTTTCAGCGCATTAATGCTTCTACCTCAGACCAGCATCAACTACAGGGATGCATAAAGGACCCAATGATAAACTTGTTTCTTGTAGAAACTTCAGTCTTGATCATTTAAAACCTCAAAACAAAATGCATGCGCGGATTGTCTAAATGCTTTTAAATTAAAATGTCAAACCAATTTAGAATTAACGCACAAAACAATTTGTTCCGAAAGTTGCATACACCTGGTGTACTCAATTTTTTCTACAGTTGCTCAGATGTCGGATACATTGATTACAGATCATTCAACGGTAATTACATACCCGAAAGAAACAAAAAGTGAGTCTCTTGATGAAGTTTCCCAAGCGGAAGTATACAAAATTTGGAATATCTTGGAAGACAGCAAAATTTGCAAAAAAAATGAACTTAAATTCTTCATGAATTACAAAAGCACGACGACGAAAAAGGATATTATGATTGCATTAAGTCAATTCAATTCTTTCATCAGATAATTGCGAAAAAAAAACATTTCGTTCCAATTAAAACAGAGACAAAAGAAGGCTAAAAAACCTGGATAGATAAGAAAATCAAAAATATGGCTGACAAAAAAATGAAAAGATTAGGCAACTAACATAAGCTCACGAAGAGACAATCCTAAAGCGAAAAATGCCAAAATTAAAAAAGCATCAAAAAAACTGATAGGCAAAAAAAAATTTGCCAAATCAAGTTAGAAAAAGATACTAAACAAAATTCAAGAACCTTTTTAGATCTTTGAGAGAATTATCGGGTGAAAGCAAATAATCTGTTACTCTAAGACAAGAAAAAACCAAAAATTTGAATCAATTTTTTGCTATAAGAGAACATCAGTTGGCTGAAAAAAATAAATCATCTCAAAAACTTCATCAGAAGCGATTCCTTAATAGTTTTTCTCTTATGAAAACCAACGAAGAAGATACAGTTGTAATTTTTTTTGGGTTTATTATTTTCGTCATTAAAAAAATTGAAACGGCAATAATTAAAACACTGACAAATTAAAATACAAATGTTTTACCGGTCTGTTTTAAAGTAGCATAGTAATACCAATTCAAAATGGAACAAAAAAGACCCTAAACAATAAAAGTTGAACAGGCCATTATCTCTTTTACCAATCTTTAGCAAAGTTTTTGAAAAGTTACGCCACAAACGCATTTTTGATTTCTTAGATAAACATGGTGTTTTGACTAACAACCAATTTGGGTTCAGACCTAAAATGTCTAGAATAGATGCATTGGTAAGCTTTAAATAAGACATTCAAAATCATTGGGAATTAAACCACAATGTAACACATGCAGTTTTCAAAAATCTCAAAAAAGCGTTTGAAACAGTTTTACATGATAAACTTCTACAAAAACCTGAAACTGCGGACTACGAGGTCCCATGCAGGCCTTGTTGAAATTATATTTAACAAATAAATCGCAAGTAGTCAGAATAGGCTCCAAATAGTCCAAACTGTAAAGTATTTACAGTGGAGTTCGACGGGGATCAATTCTCGGCCCGCTACTGTTCATTTTAATGATAAACTGTTTACACCAACGACTACAAACTCAGTGAACAGATATTCATACACTGATGATACAGCAGTGAAGCAAAAGAACAAAATTTACACTAATACAATGAGAATTTATCAAAAATAAAAAATTGGTTGAAAATCAATAAACTTACTCTGAAACTAAACAAAAATAACGTAAAATTTATCGGAATATAACCACAAGAATAGACAATATAAAAATAGGAACCGACAATCTTAATAAATACCTCTAAATTGATTACTTGGGCAATCACATGGACTCAAAATTGGATTTCAAGTTTCAGATTGACTTTCTCGTCAAAAAATGAGTGTTTTTTGCGGATTGCTCTATCGATTACATGACAAACAAATGACACAGCACAACTTATTAAAATCTATTCCAGTCATTTTCAGTCAATACTAAAATATGGGGTTATAGTTTACGGCTCGGCTAAATAAACATCACCACAAAACTTGAAATGAAACTTAACCAAATTCTGAGATGTCAGTCAGTGACATATTTGAGACAAAGCTACAAGATATGCTCAGTGAAAGAATTGCACACATACGAGGAATTCAAATATTTAGTTAAGCTTCAACGGAAGGGCTTAAGAACTGAATTCCCAAAAAAACTCGGAGATTGAGATAGTGGAATTTAAAAAAATTTAAAATCAAACCAACGAATATTTCACCGGTAAAAATTTTAAAAGAATAGGTGTAAGTATAAGAAAATTATTCAGTTTTAATCAAGTTTTCTTTGTAGATTTTGCTGATACTTTCAGCAATCCTAATGATAGTCAATTGAACACTTTTTCCATGATTTTCGCGCTTTATACATCACAAAAAAAAACGATAGATCTTTTTTTAAGAGGTGTTGTAGGGTTTGGACAACTGATAGTAGTTCACATTTTAAAATTCTTAGTAATTCCTAAAAACTGTACTGGGTAATTAAATCATCACTTGATGAGGGCTATCGGACCTTTTGATGTCCTTTCATATCAGAATTGTGTAAATTAACAAATGTCTATTGAAAAATTTCGTAAATGAAAACAATTTAAAAAGATTAATATTCATCAATTCGTTACAAAAAATGTACAAACAAAATTTTAATTTATTTTTCCTCCATCACATCTGGGTTGCCAATTCCTGTCACTTTATTGTCATAAACATACGCACTAGTCCCGCCCATGTGAATTGGGACATATTTCAAGTCTATGTAGTTTCCAATGTCTTCTGCTCCACAAAACAGCACTTTTTCCACAGAGCGCTGGTTGAGCCACGATTTGACAATTTTCCAAGCGGCCTTAAAAAACTTCTTTTGATTATATATGCTCCGTTCAAGGTTGGGACTGAAAACTTATATAGAAGACAGCACATTCACATAATTGTTCTTTCTACTTTGAAAGAAAACATATCATAGCCCTACAACCGTGTAATTTTCAGCCAGAAATTTTGCTGATTAGGCTTCTTATTTGATCTCTTGCTTGCTTGTAGCCGTTACTTCAATTTAGACAAATGCTGTAGCAGGCTTTGGAATGAAAGCTTGCATGAGAGGTTTTGGAAGCAGTACACCATTTCGGTCCAGTTTTTCAGTTTAAGAAAAAAATACGCCCTGATGAAATGATGACTAATTTGATGAGTAGGCCGGAGATAGAGAGAGATAGAGAGGGGGGTGGGGTGGGGGGGGGGGGCAATTGAATGACAAAAGAGAATGCGTGCCTTGAACACCCATGGCATTTGGAAATTGATGATGCACTGTGCTATGAGGGGATACATGTTCTGGACGGAGTTGACGGCGAACTTCATCATCTCCATGTCAATGTTGGACACTGCAGCACTAGTCATGTCCATCACTACACACACCTATAAAAAACAATTTTCAAAATTCGATCCAGTGTTTTTTTTTGCGCCATTTTATTTTTTTGTAATTGGAGGGCGTAATTTATCTTCCATTAAGCAAATTAATTTGAGAATTTAACAAGAGTTCAAAAGTCATACTGCGAAGTTTTAAGTCATAGTTTTTATCCAAAAAAAATCAACTGACAACATTTTTAAGTATCGTCACTTCGTTCGTTTACACGAAGGAAGTAAAACTGAGAGAAAACAAGTTTAAATCTTAAGATAATAGTTCGCATCTACCCATTATTTCAAAGCCTTACAAATTACTTTATCTTTAATTCGTTTTAAAATCAAAGACAGGTCGGGGACATTCTCCAATGCTCAGCCATTCAATTGCATGATAGGAGGGGGAATTCTGGTTTCCAAATTTTTTCAAAGGGTCTGACTAAGTCTAAAAATTTCTAAAGACGCCTTTGACAGCATAGATTAATTTAGAGGGCGCAGCGCTCCGAAAAATACAATTTTTACGCCAATAATTTCTCAAAAACGGTATTTTTGTCCCAATAAAAATCATGTTTTAAATTTAAATCGCCTTCAAAAGCATCCTGCACCAGTGGATCCATTTGACAGTCTGTCTCGACAAATTTTTGAGCTGGTTTAGTTAATCCGATAAGATGAAGAAGTAAAACCCTTATTTTTCCAGAAGAAAGTAAACGACTACTTCTTGCCAAGGACGCCACAAAACACCAAACCAAAATATTCCTCATTGTTGCTGAGCTCAGATGAAAAATGCTTGAAAGCTATGGGCGAGTACAAATTTATTTGACATCAAAAAGCAACTCAGAATCAAGTCAAAACCCTGTAGTTATTAGTCATTTTATAAAAACAAATCTGTTTAAAGGTATATCATTGATTATCCTTTTCTCTCGACTACACCTAAAAACCCCAAGCGACGTGCGTTTTGATATACAGCTTTTGAGTGCTCACCTGTGCTTGATTGGGACGCTTCCGATCCCACAGAATTCTCTCTAGAATGAGAGTGAGCAGCACTGTGCCTTGTTTCACATCGCGTCCTCTGCTCAGCCACATTCTAGAGTGGATCCACAGAATCTCATTGCCCTGATAAAGTCATCTTATAACACAGAGGAACAGCGGAGTTTCGCAGCTCTGGCGGTACAACACAAACATTGCATTGCAAGCAAGCATACAGAAAACGAAAGGAAAGCAAATACTTTGGAAAAAAAAATTTTATTAGTAATATAAGTATTAGTAATAAGTGATAACTGAAGATTTGAAAAATTGCGTGAAATTTTGTTCAATTTGAACAAAAACCGTCCAGAAGCCAAATCACCGGCATTAAGTAAGTATCCAGAAACACTCATCGAGTGCCAAGTAAGCGGACAAAAGTTGAATAGTTAACTCCTGTTAACCCGTGTTGACCAAAACTTCTTATCATACAATTTCCATATATGAAAAATTCCTTGTCATACAGTTCCGTACAATTCCATACGTACAGAAAGTTGCATGAAATCTCTGTGATAAGCATTTTTTCATATATGAAAACTGTATGACAAGTATTTTTCAATAAACCAAAAAGTTTCTAAAAAATTTTGGGTTGTCTTCATAACCGAACGCAACTGACAAAGACCTTGGTTTACTCAAATCACCAAAAGTTGGACGGTCTTGTATTTACAATGCATAGAAAACGACCTGAATTGTTTTAGACCCGACTTTCGCAAATGATATAACGAATGTAACAAACTCTTAAATTTAAGCAAAATTTTCATCGATGATTATTTTAAAAAATGAATTTTAAAATTACCAGACTTTAATCAAGACAAACATAAAAATGCCATACAAAAAAATTGGAGTTTTGATTTTTACTTAGGTAAAAAATAAAACAAAATGCAACATTATTGTATCCACGACTACGTTATGCACACAAAAAAAATGAGTTTTTCATGCAAAAAAAAATTTAGAAAACGTTTGTTTGAGTACAAAGTTTGACTTGCGGTTGAAAAATAACAAAACAAAATTTTGGGGCAGTTTCAAAATTACTTGGAAAATTTTTGTGTCGCCAACAAAAAAACGCTAGTCATACAATTTCCATACTTGGGAATTGTATGATAAGCATTTTTTCATAAAACAAAAAGCTCGGTTTTGCATCACTAGACTATTTTAATAGAATCAAACAGCCGCAGAAACTAGTTTAGATCTTTTTCAACTATTTTTCAAAATTGTATGATACTTGTATGACAAGCATTTTTCCATACATTTGTTTAATGGAAATGTATGATAAGTATTTTCGGTTTATGAAGGTCAACCCGGGATACAGAAAACATAGATGGTGCCATGATTACCCCCGAAAATTGTTTCCTTCAACGACGCACAATTAGATCAAAAAGCCGATAAAACATTGGCCGAAACCATTGAGGCCAATCAAAGTTTTGAAGCGAAATCAACATTACCCAACCAAATTGTGCACTGATAGGCGCAAAATTTTGTGTCTTTACGTTCCTGGATTCCAGTAACAAGTCTTCAAACATGTTAAATTTTTCTCGCAACGATCAAAGAGAACGAAATAACAAAAGATGAACAAAGGGAGCGTCCTTCTTACGGAATCAATTTACAATTCACATAATACACTGTTTGGCCAAAAAGATATTGCATAACAATCAAATTTTGTACTTACTAATTAGAGGAATAAATCAAAAACAATTTCAATTATTATCAAAATCGCTCAGAGCACGAAAAACTCTCGATGTGAAAATTAAGCCAACGGTACATAGCCCAACAAAAAATAAGCCGGCAATTTTCTGAAACAAAATAATTTCCGTTTAAAAAAAAAAACAGTTGCTGGACAAATTGTAACCAAGGAACTTTGCGGTCCCAGGCGTAGTCAATACCGCTATACCAGTAATGTCGCAAGAGCTAAAAATTGAATTCAATTTAGAGCAAGCTATCAATTGATTTGTTACGCACAATCTGTACCTGATAAAGACTATATCCCGATTTGATAATGCTGGCTAATCGCAGAGGTAATCACTACCCGGGTTGACCTCCATACAAAGAAAATGCTTATCATACAATTCCATACAACAAAAATCATTACCATACAAATGCATGCATCAAGTAAAATGCTTGTCATACAATTTTCATACATTTTCGAAAAACAATAGAAAAAAGTTAAACCATTTCTGCGGCTTTTTGAGAACAGTTGAACAGACTGGTGACAAAAAAAACTGATTTTAAATTTTTTTTTGAAAAAAAAAATGCTTTCCATACATTTTCCGTATATTTTTTTTTGCATGCAAAACTTAATTTTGTGTGTGCATAACGTAGTCCTGGATACAATAATAGTGGCTTTTTTCTTTTCACTTAACTTTTTTTTCAAAAACGCTGAAAATTCCTATTTCTTTTGAATGGCGTGTTTATGTATGCCTTGATTAATGTCTGATTATTTGATAATTCAAAAATTTAAAATAATTATCACTGAAAAATTTTGGTTAAAAGTAAAAGTTTGTTATATCATTTGTGAGAGACATCAGGAAGACAATTCAGGTCGTTTTTTATGCATAGTAAATCTAAGACCGTCCAACCTTTGGTGCTTTGAGTAACCAAGCTCTTTTTCACTTGGTTTGGTTGCAAACACAACCCAAAATTTTTCAGAAAACAAATTTACGAACAAAAAACAACTTTTTGGCTGATGGAGAAAATACCTATCATACAATTTCCATTTATGGGAAAATGCTCATCATAGAGTTTTCATACATTTTTCAGTACGTATGGAATTGTATGAAATCGCATGACAATAAATTTCCCATTTATGAGAATTGTATGATAAGCATTTTTAGTCAACCCGGGTAAATTAATTTTCGATTCAGAGAAGCATATGTTCATCTCTTTAACTAGTACCACTGCATCAGTAGTACCGCAAGACTGCTCGCATATCAAAGCGAAGCCTTGAATTTTCCAATCGCTCCTTAACTGGTCTTTTATATTTTTTGGCAAGTTTTTTATATTAGATTTGAAACTGTGTGCTGGTATTACAATTCGTTTTACACGTTCATACCATAGATGAAGTCCTAAACTATTTCACGGGTACTGTACGTAGGCTCCATGCGCATTTAGAATGATGTGTAGTTCACCGGCTTGGGAACACGTAGATTCCAGAATCAAATCCCCAATCGCTTATAATTTTAGATAAAGATATTGGGGGAAAACACCGCAAGCATATAAATTTCTTCACACTTTGTAACAAACATTTGAAAAAAAATACAGCTAAGTTGTCGAAAACCGTCTCCGCGGTGGGTTTGAGGAGTGGTTCCGCAACCGCCTCCCAATCAAAAGGTCGGGTGATCGAGGTTTGCAGTTCTCGTTGCTTGTGGGTGAGGCAACATATTAATAGCCCAGAAAAATGCCAAAAACTGATTTTAGTTCTCAAACGAGGGCCCCAACTGCGGTTCTCCAAGAAGAGCTGAACTTTGTTTTATTCTCTCGTGGATAAATAGTACTGGCTAAACACTTATACCAGTTATTTTAGAATTGCTTTACCTGTTTGGTGAGACCTTTGGTGTACATTACTCCTCGTTCCAGAAATTCAGTGGCAATTGAACTTTCACAAATAGAGTCAACTCCAAACGACTTCCGCCATTTCAGAAACCTGTCCAGCATTTGAACAGCTTCGCTCACTTTTTCCTCCTGGTGGTTGTAAAAGCGCAACAAAAGCCCGTCATTTTGCAGAAATTTTTCTGATTCGCCGCAAATATAATTATCCGTTTTATCGCCAAATTGGCGGGCAAACTCGTTCCGTATTTGCTCAGCAATACCAACACTATTTTCAGAAGCCATTTTTGCAATGAACAAAAAGCATAACAATATTTGCAGCACGAAGTATCAGTTTTTACACGTCGATTTTACTGCACCAAAACTTAACAATTAGTTTATCTTTCATTTGTCTGTGGAAACACACGAGCGAAAGGTCAGTATAACGAGACCACGCAAACTTAGTCACAATAAGAAAATAAGACAAAACAAATGAATGCACGTTTTCGTGTTGCTTGTATATATTTATTCTCACGTCCTGAAGTTAATATACATTCTATTCAGACAAGGCCTTTTTATACCATGTGTTGGATAGTGGTGACACATACGGATGAGAATTTTACCGTCAAACGCCATAACAAAAAAGAGCTATAGTACGCTTAAAATAGTGTTTAGATTTTAATCCATATAAGTACTATCTGTTTTCTAATAATTCAAGTCTAGACCTACATCGCATGGGAGAAATACTTACATGGGCAATCATATTAAATACACGGACAATATTAACATAATTTTTTAGAGGACTGTAGCTAAAAACTGCAAAAAGAATTCAGAAAATTTTTAGACTCGCATTGAAAAACATTTTTTTGTTGGGTTTAGCAACCCAAAGGCCTAACTTGGTTATTTGTTCCAATCAGAATGAAGAAAATATTTCGCTTGAAAAGTAAACTTAATATCAACATGAACAACACAAATATGAACTTGTCAATTAGTTCATATTTTATTGAAAAATGCAATTCAGGAGAAATAGACGAAAGGTATGTAAAATGGCTGCTGCAAATTCACTCTGACAAGTGTACAAAGACAAGTGCAAAAAAACGAGTGCAAAAAACGAAGTAATTTGGGCTAAAACACTTACTGAGTGAATAATTGATAAGTTAATTTGGGTTACTAACAAGGAAGAAAATCTCTTCGAAAAATGTTCGATTTCTTTGCTTTTTAAAATTGGATGCAGCAAATGTTTAATTCTTTTCCGGAGTGCAAAACTTTTTGTTGTTCCGAGCACATCACGAAGTGGTTGGATAGACCTAAAGCCTCGTATCTAAAGGCTTCAATATGGTACACCCCTCGACCCATTCTCATAATAATTGTGGTACTGATTTTGCGTTGAAAGCAAAAACAAAACAAAAACGCCAGATTACAAAAAATCTTCTCATTTTTCAAATAGTCGGAACAACAAAATATTCAAAAAATTGTAATTTTTTCTGACCATAACAATTAGGCAAATGCAACAGTCATACTCAGAGAGACCCATTGGAAAACAGTTCCTGCATAAAAATTTCTTTTCTTCTGAAAACTAGCTTTCCTTCTAGTAAAATCAATTTTTTCAACTGGACAATTTTCATATAACGAACGTACTCGATCAACTTACTCGCTCGAAAAAAAAACTGAAATTTGTCTGACCGGTTTTTCTCGACACTAGGACAACTTTTGAACATTTTAAAGGTTGTTTGAATCACGGCTGAAAGATCTTCAATATGATATATCACTCGGACCATTCCGACGATTATTTGTGAAGGCTAATTTTGTGTGGGGAAAAAACACTGAACTAGACCTAAATACAAAGCTCGTCCACATTTTCAATGGTCGGAACAAAACAAAACACATTTTTTTAAAAAAAATCTTGAATTTCTTTCTGATTATTTTTCATTCTTGATTGTTAATTTTTGTTATTTTTGGAACTTTTCAATTAAATTACTGAGGTTAGATAATTGTGCACTACTTGCGCAGCGCAGCAACCGGATAGCCTAATTGTTGCAACGACTGAAAAAAACTGGAAAAATATTTAACTTTTTTTGCAAAATTTTTTGCGAAAACTTTTTTGATTTTAAAAAGTTTTTGATTCCCTTCAAAGTTTTTACTTGCTTCAATTTAAGTTTTAGAGTATCAGATTAAGCATAATTCAGCTGTTAATAGCCTGCTAGCGAGCTTCATTCGCTCGAATTAGGACACAAAAACAAAAGTTTCATAACGGTTTTTCTACACACTGGACACGTCTCAACCCAGTCCGATCATTATTTGTGGTAGCTGATTTTGCATGGGAAACGAAAAGCAAAAAAAACTAAAACACATCGAATACAAAGTTCCTCCGCATTTTCAAAATTCGGAAAAAAAAAGAAAAAAAATGAAATTATGGTTGTGGTTGGTACCGCCGGGGCTGGTTACATAGCAACTGGCTATCCTTGATTGATTTTTTGATTTCATTCAGCAAATTCATTCCGAAAGCCTCTCCAAAAGTTTCAAAACTTGAAAATTATCAAACCAGCAAGTTGTACTATTTGCGAATTTAAAAAAAATTAAATGAAAATCTGCCGCAAAAACGTACTTGTTTTTGATTCAGAAACTTTCAGAACATTTCAGAAAATTATTTAATTTATAAACTCTCAGATTTTTTTGAGCAAGGACTAATCGTCATAAAACTGTTTAACTTCTAGGAAAAAGTTCGGAAACAGTCGAAAACGCACAGAACATGATTGTATAGACAAGCAAAAAAACTCAAAGACAAGCAAACTCATTTACCATACAGCAACTCAATTTATTCGTCCACAGACTTATCCCTAGCATCATCGTCTGTTTTAATATCTTTATGTTGCAAATTACTTATATCCGTAGAGTCAGGCCATCTACTTGTTTTATTAAGTCTCCCTCTAACACATGGTATTCATAAATTTATCGAAGCAAACTGAAACCAGTTAACTGAACAAACTGAGAATAATCTATCTAAAATTGCTTCTATGAAAGTCGTAAGACCCGCCAAAAACTTTTTAGGAAAAACCATTCTTGGGCGACTCGACACCATACTTAAACATAAACAAAAAACAAGATCAAGAGCGCGACAAAATCAGACTAGAAAACCCCCAAACCCTGATTCAAAAATCTAAGCTTTGAAAAAACTGAAAGCAAAAAACGGCAAGAACTCTTCCTGGCATTTAGTCACCACACATAGTCCAGTAAGCGCTGGAAAGCGTTTCGCTTCTTAAATGGAACCAAATTTCTGGCAGGATACAATTTTATCACTTTTAATGGCAAAAAGCTATCATTGCAGCTAAACTATCGAAAGCATTCGGACTAGACGTGTTTTGCTTGGTACACCTCAAACAACTGGGACCATTTACCGTCAATGTCACAACATAAGTTTTTAACCTGTCGTTTGAATTAAACAAATTACCACAATACAGAAGAAATCAAAAGTTAATCCTTCACCAAATTGAATCCAAAACGTAAAGTTGTCGAACTCTTGGCGCCTTGTTTCGTTTTTTTGAGCGCGGGAGTGAAAATTTTAGAAATTTTAAACCTCTCACATCTACAAAGAATCCCCATAAATTTGACTATCAACACGGCTTTCGTCCCACTCCTTTCATACCTATGGCACTATCAACTCTTGAACTTTTAAGCAACATTTAAGTGTCATTCTTTCTCGAGCTGCCGAGCCAAATTTTGAAGATATGGTAGCATCAGTTGACTCAGTTTTCAGTAGCTGTGCTGGCTGCTCTAAGACCACTTTTTCTTCATTGATAGTTTCTCTAGGTTGCCTATTTATTCCCCTAAACGCCTTTAAGTTTGATAACGCTAAGGTTTTTGGATGTGTGATCTAAATTTGATATTTTCAGGCTTGCTTTTCAAATTTCCTTCAATTGTAGGCTTTTTGAGAATAACAATTTTAAGGGAAAAAAGAACACTTTTCCTTTTAATTTACTTCCAGTCAAAAAAAATGTTTCCATCAATTTTTTCTCCTTTTAAGTCGGTCTTCCTGTTACACATGCTAAGTGTAGGTGTTGGTACACTATAGGATAATTCGTCTGAGAAATTGCGCTTTCAAGTTTGCCTGTTTTTAATGAGCACGCATGAGTGCTCACAAATGCAGCTGTGATATAATGGTTTTAGCGATTGATTTTTAATCAGAGGTTCGGGTATGTTCTTAATAAGGTGCTTGATGATTTTTGTGGGTGTGTTCCAATGTATCTTTAAAGAGCAGCTAAAGCTTTCCTGTTTTTATCTAGTGTTTTTGTTATTATTAGCCCGTCAATGGTATTTCACACATTGTAACCTTGAGGTCCAAATGACATTCTCTACTATGCGACGTAAAAAGACTTACTGAGCTCCTTGTAGATGAAAATTCGAGCGATCTACTAGTAGAAAAAGTCGACTAATTATCTTATATAGTTAACCAAAGCAACAATGCATAATGTATGGCGCGCGATTAGTCAAAGGGGTGAAAAACATTGGCATAGGACTGAAGTTTGACTTCAAGAGGAGAGTTGGGTGCCTCAAGCAGATTTTAAAAAGAATGGGCGAGAGGACAGAACCTTGGGAAACGCATGTACCTACGATCCTGTATGAAGACAAAGGGCCCTTATATTGCAGTTTTCTTTTTCTACCATTCAAGGTTTTCAGGCCATTTAGTCAAACTATATGGTACAGTGGTGCCAGGGGTGATGTTCAGTAAAATGCGATGGCAGACCATATCCAAGGCTAATGATAAAAACAACGTAGCCAGTACAGTTTTGTAGGCGGTTGTTAAAACGTTGTTAAAAAGTTCAAGGCGTGATAATGCCATAGTGGCGGAAGGAATGGGACTAAAGTCGTGTAGATAGTCAATTTGAGGAAGATTCTTTGCAATAGTGGGATTAAGAAACACAAGTTGTGGCACTTTTCATCAAAATTTTCCTATCTCGTAATGAAAAACATTTGCGAGTCTGTATGTTCACTGGAGAGTGGAATAAAAACAGTTAAAAGATGAAATATGCCTTCTTTTGGAACAAACTTAAGGTCTCTTTCCCTAAAGAAATCAACGCGACCTAAATAAGGATCTTCACAACATTGACTGAAACTTGATGAAAATTTGGATTTTTTTTGTAAAACTAGAAGCCTAAATTTTTGGGTACCTGAGATTCTCAGAGTGAACTCGCAACTATAAAAATATTTTAAAACACAGGTAATTTTCTTATAGAATCTACAATAATCTATGAGAACAATTGATAATCTGATTCGAAACTGAATAATGTGAAATGAAGCTGGTTGTTCCATTAGTAACACTTTCGTGAAAGGCGGCAGGGTTGAAAATGGTTTATCAATGGAAAAATCTGATTTTTTTGTCTGCCCGAGGAAAATAGGTCAATAGTCTCTGCCCGCTTTTTGTCTTCCCACTCCGTACGGCCTTGGAAAAGTTCTACT